TACCACGTTTACTTAAAAGTTTTTCCGGATGCAAGAATGACCATACGGGACCTTGCCGTCTGTGTAAATATACGTACGCATGTACACTCTAATTAAGTGCACCGAAGATTATCAACGCGTCTGATCTTCCTGCCGAGTTCAACTGGTAACGCCATTTGATTACACGCTGATGTACACGCTTAGTGATGATCTGTAGTCAAACTTAGTCGTTACCTCACTCTGAAGTCGCTGGTGATCGATTGTACGTTGCAGCGTGATGTGATGGGTTTTAGAAGCACGGACTGTTGTGTGTATTCGAACTTTTGCCAGACAACGTAAACTTCACGTCAGAATTTGTTATTGATATTCCTGTCTGAACTAAACAAAGATTGCATATTGAACTTGAAGCATTTTCCGCGGGCCCGTTTTGCATACAAGGCAATACTTCAGTCATCATGCTTAGTTTGTAGCGTAAAACTGAAGTGATAATCAGACATACACACAATCATGCACTCACAATTGGATCGCTCTAGAAAAGTCTTATTTTTTAAGATAGATTACTCGAAACTTCGAGTTGAACACGAATAATATCAGCGGTATACAGAAGTTACATTTTTTTAGATAAAGCAAGCTAAGCGTTTAGGTAAGTGTGTTGTAGATATCTCTCTGGAGAACTGCGTTTAGATAGAAAAGCTGTCAGAGGGCCCCGGTCTTGCATCAGCCGTCAAGGTGATAAGATTAGTTCGCCGGAGGTATCGCCGATACGCACCACATGACAATATTAGTAATTATGGACCTAGCATTCTAATTCGATCATTTAGTTTATTAGCTAGATATAATTTATAGTTTTAAAAGGCAATTTACAATCCATATTGCAGATGTTATTTTTAAGTTCTAGTTTTATTGTATACTTCATTTAATTATTCTTTCACTTTCTGTCAGTGCATACAAAATCGAAGTGATATGAACCTCTCACCAAGGTACTCGATGCTGATTACCCAAGCGGTTTTCTGTTGCAGCGGTTGCTGACTATCTTCACAGACCTTCATGATTAAGAGAGACCATAAAGGAAATACATAGTGGCCGATTTGCTTTTACTGCTATAATTTTTGCGATTGTGAAGATGTCAAATCGAGCAATGAGCGCATTTAAATATCTCATTTAGACGCGAAACCATTGACAGGGGGGCAGATTACTCCGTTTGAGTTTCTATTGGCCCGAATCCTCTTTGTAGACCCAGCACATACCAGATGAAATTTAGATGTTATCGATTGCTGATTAAAAGCAGGCCGGCATTTAGATAAGAAAACCACTCTAGTTTACAATACGGAGATATAATATGGAGATGAATGAGCAATTGGGTCAATATTATACGCGTATTCCTGCCAACTAGCAGTCAACGGGCGCAACAAAATAGATCTTGGATAAATAATGGACTTTTGTACGTCAGTATACTGTCGCTGATAGTAACCATAGACAAATGTATTTGTGAATACGATTGAAGTTTGGGTGAAGTTGTTTGGGAGTCAAACACTAATAGCTACATCACACCTCTTATGATTTATAGTGATATCGCTGGAACACAATCAAAAGCGACGGAAAATATTTCTACATTTATGATCGAAAGCCCCTTCACTAATCAAAGGCGTTCTCTAACACTCCACTGCCGAGGTTTAGTTTTGTCTGACCTGCCACGCGATTTTTCCTCGCTTAATTGAGCTACTCCTTTGGCGAGTTGAGCAAATAAATAAATTCTCATTTGTACTTTAAGTGGTATTATTAACCGCACTTAAAAAAAATTATTAGAAGGCTAATCGGTAAAGATCTCTTGAAACAATTTTTATTTGATCAAGACAGAACAACAAACGTAAAAGTTCTTATTTATACTGTGTCAAGTTACTCATTTGGCAGGAGCCAAAAATCCTATTTTTAAATCAGCCCTATAGATGTATTGTTCTACTCAAGCTTACGATTCCTTAAAATTGACTCGGTCGAACTCCAACTAGCTTGTTTCATAGACAGACCCTTATCGTTGGTAAGGTATCCTATTAGTTTGTTTATACGAAATTATAGACACGCGTAATAGCGTGATACCCTGTGAAAGATAAACTATATTTATATAGAACTTTTATAGGTTTTATACTTGGAAAGCCTTGTTAAATTTACCATATCTAGAGCTTCGATTCTAGAACATATCAGAATAGATTGTTCTTTATTCATTTCTATAATGCTTAGGTACCTTATGGTGATAAACTATGGAAGTTAATATCATACATATGGATATACGATTTCGTTAAACATAAAAGAAAAACGGAGATTTTTTTTTACTAGCTCGAAAGAAAAACTTTAACGGCGCACCCAACTTAGGAATTTAAACAGTCGCCCTTGGGGCCGCCCCGAGAACAGCTAGGCTTGCCCGCCAACCAAATGTCTTAACAAATAGAACAATGAGATGACGCTTCATTTATCGCAACCGCCCTAGTGATTCCTTTGAAGCCTTAATCTCCGTGTCGCTTATCGTGGCTACATATTCAGCTAGTGACGTCTGCCCGCGAAGGACATTGTTGTCCTCTAATGCTTGCCTTCCAGCAGTTTTAAGCTCTGTTTTATATTTGCAGTTTCTCCTGATGGTGGGCCCTTCTGCCTCAGACATTCAGGGTAACAATACTTTCTCAGGCTCTTATGTTAGACTGGCTAGAAACTCAGAAACCACACTTTAGCTGGTCTCACATTTTATCCCGTATGCTTCGTTTAACTCGGTCCATCTTTTTAACTCCCACTTTCTTGATATAGTACTTGATGGCTTATCCGAAGTAAATAACGAAAGGCTGTAAGAGAGCTGATTTGCGGGCAGATTTGGCTCTATGTATCATAATTAAGCTAGGAATCTTTGTATGCACCATGTGCCGCATATCTCGTATGTGCTAACCTTATGACTAACCTGTTTAAAACAGAACAGGACTGCCGTCATCGTTATTTTAGTTGTTTTTAAATATAGGACTGGGGAAATGCTGGCAAATCACCAACTAGTTACACACCTAAAGTAGAAATGTTCTTGAATTAAGAAAAGTGTACTTTCTTGGTGTTCGGAGTCCAGTTAACTATAGCAGTTTCTGCCTTCTCAGATGTTTTTTATGCTAAAACGATGATTTATTTGCCCCGATATAAGGATGAAATCATATCATCAAATTACTATGATATATTGGTATTATGTTTTATTGCCGTGTGACGTCTCATACTGACGACATCCACAAAAGTTCTGCGGTCGTCCAAGAAAGCATAGAGGTTCGATATAAAGCGAGAGATGAACTTGACTAAGATTAACATTGCCAAAGCCAAGTACCTACAACAAAGTTCCATGTCCTTTTTCAAAACTTGTTCATTTTGTAACCAGAATATTGAAAATTATCAGTATTTGTACAATTAGGAGTGGATCCAATGGAATAGATCAAATCCTTATTTCCGACATTCGAACACAAATAGGATTATGTGATAATGTAAGGCAGTATGATTTAAAATCACGAACTTCAAATAGCAGTAGATGCTCTATAGATTTAATTTCGTGGACAATTTACGTTGTTCTGCATCGTGAGATTATAGGCAACATGCAGAAACGCTCATTATGGTCTAATATGCACGCTATACGCTCATATCCGGCGCCCTATTTATTATTACAACACGATTTCGTCCATAGAGATTCGTAGAGACAGGCTTTTATTTTTTTTTTTTAATAAAAATCATTCAAAAGCTTTCTTCTCTTACTTTTGTATAAATTCCAAGATACCCAAGTTGCACAATATCCTTTTCTTACGTTTTTCACTTCACAGAGTTATTGGCATTAACATGCTCCAGCAAAGTTATTTAAGTCTATTTTCCCTTTGAGCCTTACCGTTTTGCCATGGAATAGGTATGACATGACAGCACGATTAATACTAACAAGGTTACCATGATACCAGCAGACAAATCCGCTGAATCGTTGGTAAAATTAAAGTAGACGTCCTTTTTCTGCCTGTATATATATCACAGGCTGTATAAAAAGTCCTTTTGTTTTCGATTGATTCTAAATGCTCTGTATAGCTTAAGTGAAGCGTTTCATTAATAAAAACAACGTTATTGTAGCTACGACGGGTATCCAACAAAAGAAAGCCGGCTTTTGCTCATTTGGACAATTTCATTGGCAAAGGTGCGGGTTTAGCGAAAGGAATAGTTGCTCTGAAAACGTTCCTTGTATATCGCGTAAGCATTTTAGAGTTGATTGAACGAAACTTTACGGTATTCATATACGGTGGTCATAAGTCATGGCGCTTTTTCAGCGATCAGTTAGATTACAACGTCATGCACCGTTGTAGCCTTTTGGATAGCGTTCAGTTATTCGACGTCTTGGCCTACCTCTGATCTACTTATGGCCTACTTCTGAACTGAATTGACTAAGCGTAAAGTGCATCTGTCATCTCGTAAACTAGAAGCATAGCTCTTATCAATAGGTATTCATTTATATGGACGAATACGAAGAATCGTGCTATTCTTTGCTCAGTGTTACCCAGTGTCTTTGTTTATATAACACAAAACATCCTAGCAATAGTAGCAAAAAAAAAGGTGGAGACTTTTCCAAACCTCAGACTTTATGTGTCCAATATAACATTTACCGCGTGCGTCATATTCGATACGCTGATTTGTTTCTATCCGCTATTCTTCGAAGGCAATATAAAGTGCACCTCTTCGACGACTCGCAAATGCTAGCGTATAATAAACCCCTTTATATCCTCTCCTTCTATGACAAACTTTTCGCACATCGGGTCCCACCTGCATGACATCATGCTGCCAACTGGCAACTGGGCACCTTAGAACGCCCGTTGAGGCCTCAACCAGCCATACCACACTCTCCCTTTTCTGGTCCGACCTCTCCCATGCTTTCTGCCCTTCCCTTCTCGGGTTTGCAGTAATAGCAGCGAGGTTTCCACATACCTGGTTTGAGTAGGGGGTACATTTGGTGACGGTGGGTCATAAAGAAGAAGCGGCACTCCCTTCGAGCGTCAGGAAGGATGTATTGCAAATACGGCACCCTGAAACGCGACGTAAGTTCGGCTGACGGAGAAAAATAACTTCTATGCTTTGTGGATAATGAAAGTGGCGTAAAGTGTACAAAAAAGTTTTACGTTTCGTCAGCGTTAAACAGTGGTAGTAAGAGCGATTACAGTTAGATTGTACTGTTAGGCAAGCTGGCATCTACCCCCCTCACGTGACAGCCAACAGTGCTGTGCCTCAACTTAACCAGTGCCTGCGACACGCATGTTGGTTTTAATGAAGACCGCCATAAGTGAGAGTACCTCTTCGATTGGCTGCGTCGTGACCAAAGTGAAGTGGGTAGTTGAACTCACATAATGCGTAGTTAGTCACTTTAGTACAATTGCGTCTCCTGTCTCAGCGTCGTCGTCTGCTTCATTCTAACAGACTAGTAAAGAAGTTCTTATAGTCTTTCGCCGCCGACGTGGGGAAGTACGACATAATTGTTGTTATTGGTTCTTAAAAGGAGCCACTATCTAAATGAAAGGTAGGATGTGGTTATTCAAAACGGTACGGAATTTGCCGGACGATCCACATCTGCCTTGGCTGTTTCTTCTACTATACGTGCTTCACTTACTATTCGTTGATGGCGCCGTTGGTTAGTATCTCAACTATTGTGATGAACGACAGCGTCTATTATAAATAGAGCTCTAACCACTTTAACCATGTTCTTAAATAACGAAAAACTATCTGGTAATAAATTTGTATATTTTTAAATTTTTGGGCTATAGTGCGTAACTATGGCCGCAGAGCATAGGAAATTCATTGTAGGACTGCTTCTCAAGATGGAGAAAGTAAGATAACAAGTAAAGAGCAACACAGGATTACCTATAGAGCGATTGCAACGTAATATTCTAGATGGACATACGATTATACAAGACGCTTCATTAGCAGCTACTTATTAGAAGAAGGTGGGTTTCGGAGTATCTAAGGTCAGCGAACGATTTTCTTGAACATTCATTTCTGACCCGCGACAAGCTGTTATGGAGTCAAAGTATTCCTAGGCCATTTCAATAGTAAAATGCGGGATCATTCCTCCTTCAGTTAACTACAGCTGTATGCCCAGTTAAACTCCGAAGAAATGCGCCTCCAAAAACGGGGCCTATAACTGTCATATATATTGATTGCTCAAATAACCCGTTTATACAAACTAGTTAAACACAGGTAGTTACCGATAAGCCTATTCAAATCACTCTCCGCTCACTTTAACAACGCATCTTGCTTTTAGGGTTATGACAAACGTAGTTGTCTAATATATGTGACACTTAATCATCTCTCTAAAGAACCCTCATTTACCGCAGCTCTGGCGAAAGGGCCTGAAGTTGTACCGCTGCACGTACTGCTCGCATTGCATTCAAGTTGAAGTTCATCGCACCTGCGATCATAACCCTTAGTCCTGGAGTGAGACACTTCTAAAGAACGTACGATGTTCTGTTACTTTTTACAGTTAAAGAGTATGTTCTTTTGGCAGCAGGTTGCTAATTTAGCAGCAGTTGACGAGTTCGATTTTTATACAAAAGTATCACTAAACTATCTTTCTCCCCATCTCCTTTCTAAATTTCTTTGACAAGCAGGACGCTAATACAAAGAAAAAAAGCATTACGATTAAAAACGAGCAGTTAAAAACATTTCACGAATTTATTTAATGTCTGAAACCGGCGAGCACTGTTTGATGAAGAAGCTGATGGCCTTATCATTATTGTTCCCTATTTGAAAAAGTCATCGTCAGATATGGCTTGTAATACTTATACTGTCGTATAAGTAGGTGCTCGTGCGACCTACGCGTTGTTATAAGGACGAAGGGTTGTTGTTTTTAATCTAGAATTCGATATATTGTAATGCTCCACACAGAACCTAGACGTTAGATGTTACATCTGGATCATTAGTAGGTGAAATGGGTTTCCGCATAGTCGGGGACGTTATACTGCTAATGTCTAGGTAACAGACACATCTAGTTCTAATTAACTGTAGTGTTACACGATATTCTGAGAACTATGTGGAACTATTTAGAGCATCGCAATGTATTCTTTAGCTCTGTTTTTTTATATTGTTTACTGATGGTGCATAGAATTGTTTACAGCTGAATGATGAATATTTCGATCAAAAGTTACGACCTAACGCTATGGCGGACTCAGTTTTTAGGAATTATTTGTCATTTCGCACGATATACACAAATATATTATACTATAAAATTGTGTACTACCATGAGTATGTTCGACCGGCTCGCAATTGACTATGGTGATATCTGAAAAACCTAATTTTATGAAACTTTCAGTGATTATTCGGTTTGGTATATGGTTAAGGGTTTAAGTGCTGCGTAAATAAGGAAAGTTATATATTTATATCCATTTACTACACTCAGAAATAGATACTTTTTGCTGACACGCCAATGCTGCATATACTGGTAATTTATCATTAGTCTCCCGAATGACCTTTAGAAGTAGAAATGAAGCTACGACATCTCAGAAAGGCAGTCTGGAGAAAGGTTTTTGGCTTCTAAATTCACTTGCGTCTAAGAAAACACTTGTTCAGAGAGCGACGTACGGACACAGCATGAAAGCGTTCGACGAAGAGATCTTTCTGACGACTGCATCGTATTTGCGGTATATGAAGGGTTTCCGTAGAAAAGAACTTAAGACCCTTTTCGTGCACCTCTAGCTTTTTTTACTAATACTATTTTCTTTTTCACTACAGCTTTAAAAAGCGGATAAAATATTTCGAGAAAGTTCGCAAAGTATGCATTCCAAACGTCAAGGAAAAAATATAGGCCAGAATAAGGCCTTCCGCAGGAAAGGGGTTAAGCTTAGTTTTTTTTCAATTTCAAATTATGCAGTTTTTGAATGTTCCTGAAGCCTTAAACAGTCTGACTACATGTCTGGGAAAAACCTGCGACATATATGCTTGAAATGTTGACAAAAATACAATTTTACACCCGCAGAACTGATGAACCCCCCTTTTTTTTACATAAAGTAAGCCGAGTTTTTGGATTTTAATTGAACTTAGTATAATTACGTCTATTCGCATATCACACAGAGACAGAGACGCTGAACGACCAACGCCTCGATTGCGATGTCTTCGTTGTCTTCCAATAGCGCATATAAGCATTATAATAGGATGTACACGGTTAGGTTTTATTTGGCATTTAAACTTAAAAGTACAGTGATCAGTGTCCCTTATTATTACCAAACGCACGATTTCGCATTCGAGAAATTTGCAAAAGACGAAGATACGTAACCGTTTCCAAGTTTTTATTATACCTATGAATTGTCCAGATACGTTTTTTATCTATCGTAGATCATATAATCTTCGTTTGTAAATTATATACGACTGCACTTAACAAAGGAAATTACGCCTTTCCCTGTTATCCTGGTACACTTTCGCATAGTGCAGAGGCTAAAAAAAAACACATTTCTTGTCCACGATCATTTAACAGATAATGTTTAACTTTTTACACGTTTTCCGGAACGAATAATGCTTCTGGCCGTCTCAGCCAGCCAGCCAGCCGCAGCTTATACTATCCGCTAAGGAGAATCTATTCCCATGATCAAACGCCCTATAAATCAAATATTATAGCGTTTTATTTCGCATTTCTTTATTGCCGTTATAATGGTTATTAGAATTGTATCTCTACCAACGTTGATCGGCTTGTATGAGACCAGACGTTCTAGTGCTCATTGACTTCGCTGGTACTGTTGTTCGCCAATACATTATGGATGATGAACATAATTTATTATTGCAATTAAGGGGCATCGAAACAGCCCTGTTCAACTAAAATACCTATTGAATGAAATAATTGGAACTTGAAGTTCGCTACAACTAGGCTCTAAAGTTATTCTACGTTCGACGTACTTATACATGTCGTGTACCCTGCTTCTGAAGCCTACACACCTGATAGATGTTTGTCATAGGAAATGGATGGAAAAAATGAGTGATTTAAAAAAGGTGCCGATTTTAGTGTGATAAGATAAATATCAATTCTGTGCTGACCCTGCACGGCGCTCAAACTTTTGAAAGCGTCGAGTTCTGAATACACAGTAAGGGTTACGATCTTAAACGCATAAATAGTTGTCATTCTGAATGAGACGATAGCTATTTGTGGGTAGTTCAAGTTGTCGTCGGGCTACTGCTACATAAAATTACAATTAAAAACTAATTATTTTCCTTGAAATACCATAAGTCGACTACTTCGAGGGACCATCAAGCCGTCCTACATTATAACATAGCGTTTTCCCTATTGTTAGATATGCGTTACCGTCCACCACCAACAGACGACAAAGATCATTTAAAATGGACGACGTATTTGAGGATCTCAGGACAAGTTTCTATACATTGTTAATTTTCATTGATTAAACCATACTCGTAACAGCAAATCTTAAACACGGTCGTCGAAAGCTGTCATTGCGTTATTTCTTTTATGCTCAGACATACTTGTCCAGGACAAACTCTCCTTCGATAGGCCAAATATAAACAAATTTTGCGAAGAAGATTCTAACCGAACTGCCTTTGCCAGATCCCCGCAGATCGGTCGGCCAAAAGCAGTGGACAATCTGATTTGTCAAGAACAGAGTGTTCTCGCGAGGCCATTAGCAAATATACTCTTCGGTTACCTTACGTTTTGTGGATGATGTTTTTTTAGCACGCATTGATTCAATTCATATCGCTATTAAACCCTAGGCTTATAAAATCTGCTCGTTTTGATCGCGCTTACTTCACTGGATTACATTGGCCTGAGAGAAAAGCATGTTACAAGGATTGCATATATGGGCGACATATCTCATAAGTAATGCCGCTCATTGGGTTATTTATTGCGACGGGCCAGCCTCGCCGAAGAACGGTAGAGTAGAACTTCTGTAGCAAGTGTCTAGCAGTACCAAACAACCTGGAATCTCAAGGCCGTGCATATAAGTTGATGGGTAAATAACTGAGATTCGTATGGGGATGGCATATGGGTGCATCTAAATGTAAGAAATTTTCACTCATTTGTTGAAATGTAAACTAAAATCGCTAAGTAACATTGTCGAGCGCGTAAGCTTGAACAGGGTCATAAGTAGCGTGCATGAAGATGCACGCTATTTAGTTAGCAGTGATTATATTAAGAAGCTTAAAAAGAAGGGGCAGCGTATTGTTCATAGATTTATTATTGCAAGCGATTACCGATTTGGACTTGCGGAACCACATCATACGCTTTAATGTTCGGGGACGCTTTTGATGTATTCTAATAAACGGGACATGCGCTATCATTTCAAGTCGTTGTCTTAATTATAAATAGCGTTTTTTTCTTAAATGACGTCAACATTGTGTAAATAGTTTTACGTCTTGTCAATGAATGTCACTTTGTTTGGTACTGCAAGCAGGACCTAAACTAAATGGAAAAAAGGACTAAAACGTAAAAAAAGCGGTTGGGTCACACCCAGTTATCGGTATATACGAGGCTACACGTATGATGAAGTAAAGAAAGCACCTTAAACCGTAATATTAACTCGTTAGTAGAACGGGTTGAACGACACTTCATGGAGACCTCCGCGAGCGTATTTCTCGTTAGGGGGCATTAGAAATCGATTGAGTCCTTCATCTATTGATACTCCTACATGTAAATTATTATTATCAAAAATTTAGTGAGAGATAAACATTTTTCCCTTAGATCAAACACATAGAATCTGTTGAGACAAATTTGTAACGCAAATCTGCTAAACATCGTTGATTCCGCTCAACTGCCCGGAAGATACAACGCAGAGGTTTTGTTTAACTGTTATGTCAACTAACCTCGCGATACTTTGAACGTATTCTGAGTTTCACTATCGTTAAGTTGTTCAGTTGAATTTTTCGTGTATAGATCGCATACGAAGGCACTGGATGACAATCAGCTAGGTACAATCTCCGGATTGTTTTAAAGGCTTATGCTTTATAAACCTCGAGTCGACATGTACATTGTCCCAATATTAACTAGAGGCAAGGGGGACCGAACAAAAGATTCGTTTTAGTCGTAGGCTGCTTCCTTTTTGGAAATCTGTAGCAAAATAGAGAACAGTATCTCGTAGATTGAGTTGGAAGATGATGCTTCAATCTAAGACAATAATTTTTTTTTTGGTTTTTGACATCGAAGCGCAGTTTAGAGAATCTGGGACCGCTTTCTGGGATGGCATCACCCGGGTTCTGAGCGGGCAAGCTACAACGAGTTATAGAGTATCAGAAAATATCAGTAATTCACGACTACGAATTGGAGCTTCAGTAACGGGAACGACTCGCTATATAAACCCTGTATGTATGTAAAAGATCTTATATTAGAAGCATCGACCAATTAAATTGAGGTGGATTGATACAGCACTATCTCAGCAAGTTTCAAAAGCAGAGACGCTTGCTTCTCGTTGTTCTCGCGTGCCGACAAAGATCCATTCCTGCACTGAGCCGTAACTGATGATGAAAAATAAATTTTCTTTTTTTTAAAAGGTATTATACACTAGCGGAATATCACCCTAAAACAACTGTAAGCGCCCTGTTATTCTAATGTAGATGATATCGGTTCCAGTTTTGTCAATTAAGGTTAGAGCTTACTGACAATCATTTAGAGAGACGATAGAGAAAATGTGCACTAAGGGCACGACAACGATGACAAAAATACCTTTAGCCAAACATTCTTTTCAAAACTTCCTATACTTTCTTAAATCTTGACATTTTTTTTTCCTAAATTTCAATAAATGATGTCGAAATAACTTTTACGCAGACGCAAGCCCTTTGCCGGCTGTTATCATACAACGCTATGGTAACGCTTATGGATAATTCGTATTTAGATAACTATGTCTCGGTTGAAGTGTTAGATAGCTGCATTCTATGATATCTGTAACTGAGCTGTCATAATATTATTAAAGCAGTGAATGGCGAGCGTGACCCATGCTAGCACTCCTCGCTTCGACAAGTGACCCTAGTACTAGGTAAACAAATTCGGGTGTTTCCCTCGAATAATTGATGAACAGTGTTTTGAAGCGATAATTGTCTGTCTGACTAGCTCTACAGATCATACACACGTCGACAGTGTCTTAGAGGACTCGAGAGTCTTCAAATAGATGTATGTGTCACTAGCTTGAGAACTGCATAGACTTCAATTGTATCGTCAAACGTATCTGTTAGAGGTTTTGTCGTTTCGCTTTAATTCATGCTAACATACTAAGTTACCTCTCGTTACTTATCTATTTGAAGCAGCTTGAACATGGTCCAGGCGTATGACAACTGATCATTTAGCAAAAAAAAACCCTGCAGGCGCTCAGGGCCTCTAAACGAAACCGCGAAGGCTACCCTTCGCAAGGAAACTAAAAAGCCCTTTCCGATGAAGATCACCACCGCAGCTTCTTGTCGGCTCCTGGAGTCAAAGTTATAGCTCCTAAAAATCACGCAGAATCCTATTAGGATATTCTTGACATGAATCAAATATACCACACTTATAATAGTGGTATATAATAGATCTGGCCAGCTTAGCCTAACCTAGAAGTGAGATACAGGAGTTTAGGCATGTGCAATTCGAATAAGCCTTCTAGGCAGAAACAGAATAGTGATTTCAGTGTTTGTTTCGGAGGTTCATGATAAGTGTTATTACATTTAATTCGGTTAGTTTAGGAATCGGCTTAAGCAATGCGTTACAGATTCATGCATCATATATATGTACAAAAAAAAGTGAAATAAAGCTCGACTTAAAGTTGAACACGGCTCAATCATATAATCAATAAACTGTCGAGCTTATAGTTATGAAAAAAGCAGACTTACAATCGAACTAGCCTTTATATCAACTGGAAACCTAGCATAATTCGTAGCAAAAAGCCCTGTTCTTCCCTCCTTTACACTTGAACTTTCCTCGACTCTAAAGCTACCCATTCCGTGTATACGATCATATTATACCATACTGTAACTACGTCCCCGATGCTAGTAATATACACAGCGGATTGTTTTGTAATTAATAAAACGCTTTGCCTAGTGTTTATTGAAATATTTATGTAAAGACATACTGCACGTTCCTAACAATATTCTAATATTAGTGTTACTCGACAACGGGCCAGGCCTAATGTTATGTCTATGCACGTTATCTTAATTGCAGTCGTAGATCTAACAGGCCAGATCGAGCACGTCTACGCTAGCGTCGAAGATGGTCAAGCATCACTGCCTTGCAATCTTCGCTTATACGAAGCGTCTGTCGTGGAGCACGTTGTCTGGACCCGAGTGTCGACGGTACGTAGATCGTCTTTTATTATCACTGAATATCCGAATTGCTATCGTCATATCAATTAGGCAGTATTGGACCTTTCGTCGAGAGATCGATACCCAATCAATAGAGAACATTCCTCATAGCGAGTTAGTGATGATCAGTGCTAACTCCTAAAGCTTAAAATCGTCCTTTATTATATTCAGCTTCTGTGTTTACGAGACGGGAGTCGTCTTTGTAGGAAGCTAGGCTCCACAGCCTCGATTTGGTGCTTAACGGCAACCGTTGGCGTTCCAATCGTTTTGTTTCACGCTGACGTTGAATAGTGTAGAAACTCGGTAAGAACCGACAGATAGGTGTATCTACTTTGTTAGAAACTTAAGCAATTTAAACAGTTGTGCACTAAGTAAACTATCAACGACACATGAAAAAACAGCAGCTTTCTATATATCGTTTTAATGGCCAAACGTACTTATTGACAAAAAAACGCAACTGAACGGTCAAGAAGACGTTTCATGCTCGTTCATTTATGCGTCTATATATATATATAGATAAGCTTGAGGAAGCTTAGGTTATACAACGCTAAGGGCAGCGTTTCGTCTGCATACGGCCAATGTCCTATTGGAAAGGCCTTCTGTATATAACAAAACTATTGTTATATGAATTTATTGACATTTCCTAATCTTATGGTCTGTTTAGCAATCTAAAGCATTGAAAACCGGAAAGAACTTCAAGCCAACGGATAAGCAGCTTCGGAAAGTAGAAAATGTTTGTGTCGAACGATAATGATCGAGCTCGTGACCACACTTCAATATTGTCACGTACACACATACCCATAAACATGAAATAGCCTATACCGAATAGCGACCTTCTACAAATTTTTACTAATATAGCAGCAGCAACAACAAGGACCATAAATATCATAAAAGCTGACCCCTACCAACGTCATTCAACGCAAAGTATTTGTTAATTCGTCCTCTCGTGCATTCATTTTCCTATTCTAAGCGGCAATCCGAAACAAGTTCGCTTGAGAGGATTCTCGAATCAACGTACTTTTTTTTGCTAAAAATGCTGAACGGTATTAATTTGGTCCGTTCTAGGCTCCTCTAGCTATTTCTGGGTCCCTGCTTTGTCCTGTGTCAAAGTTCCTTCTTGTCTTGTTTATTGCATCCAGTCAATACAAGTAGATCACCACCTGAACAGTTGAGACCCGAGATGCGTTGGGTAGACTGATGGTACGTTCGAAGCAAACCCCTCTATCGAAACAGGGTCTAGCTGTCACAAAACGACAGAAAACAGTTTTATTTTTGTCTGTATTAATAAATCGAGCGGATGCCATCACTGTACACAGATTGGAACTATACGGAACACGTATATTTTTTGCACTGTGTATTTTTTCCTCGCGTATCATGTATACGAGGCCCTCGAATATAATAGAGTTGTTTACAAAGTAATGTCAAACGGCTGATAGAGGTCGACGTCAAAAAGGCGACGTTTTTCCTATTAGTTATCATTCTGTCTGCATAATACAACACCTTGGCATCTAAATTACCTTGGCCATAAGTGAGAAGATTTTTGCTTACGCTAACTTGAATATGCTTATATACACGTATATTTAATTTAACCGAGTTCATTTCTAACGCGTTCGGTGTAGCCAGCAAGCTTGTTCACATATGAATATTTATTATAGGAACATTTTCGTTTTTAAAGCACTGGATTCGCTCACTCAATCGTGTTCCAATCAACATTTGGTATCGGCTGAGCTTCCTATAAATATATTTATAGATATTTGTTGGCAAAAGGTCGTTATTTGCTTTTCTAACAAAGTTCTCGGTATCTGGCACACAAGATCCCTATTCTCTAGCCAACTTTCCGTTGTTAAGCTGGAAGGAAAATTTTATCACCGAGAAGCTGAAGTCTGTTTGCTAAATTTGAAACTAAAAAACAATTGTGACCCAATAGAAATCACACAGCCCTATAGACGCCCCTTACGGCATAAATGAGCAGTGACGTGAGTGCCAGACTATGATCCAGTGTTCATTTATAGACCTTTCTTAAGTCAGAATTAGCTAGTCTTCAAGTATATCAAAATAGTATCGTTTTTAAAATATAGAAATGCTTGTGATACATGTTTGAAACTTCTCGTTATCACCAGTTGATCGATGCTTCAGATGTTAGAAGTTCAAGCGCTAGAAAAGTCATACACCCTCAACGAACGCGGTATGTCGAAAGAAAATGTTTATGGGTAATCTTTAATAGTTCCCATTACGGTACTTATTTTTTTTACATAGTGTCGTGCTGGGCGTAGTCGTGAATCGTAATGATCTCCAAGCTTATATAAAATAGAAGCTTATCAGTAGTAGACACTATACCGATACGTATATAAAATCGAAGCATATACAGCTAGTACTAAATACTTATTGAGATAGGCTTACGCACGCATGACAGGTAATAGTATCTTATGTCCAGAATAGTGGGAATGAAGAGTAGTTGAGTTCGGTTGCTTTTGTTCGTATGGTATAGAATCCTTGGCCCTGGCATAGAGTCGTTCCGGCACCGACTACGAGAAAAAGTAGCGTACCTATTAGTGTTTGTCAGTTTTTCGAGATAATGCTGCCTGAGAAGGGTCGAAAAGGTCGAGGCTCAAAGCCCTGGAATACCCGTCCTTTGTAATAGCCCTTGAGAGCCCTACGAGACATCTACGATGAGACAATATTTCGGCCATAATTACGCGCATGACTTTGATTTGATTTGATCATCGATAAAATCAGTCTACTTGAGTTAAAATAGTCCCCGCTCCGATCGAATCAAAAGTTCTTCGACGCGACGGCTGGGAAAAATCATCAACAGCTTATATTTACAGAGTGGCACCAATATATTGGGATAGATTTTTAGCGGGTAATTTGCCGTAGCCTGCATGCGTTTATCTGCTAAAAGAATAAAGGCCTCTGATTGCTTTTCGAAACTTAAATGTAAACTTATCATGCCGGAAAGAAAAATAACTTATGTTTATTAACAAAAGCAAAGATTTACAGAAACAGAAACAGGTTTTTATATGCACACCAGGATGCGAAGATACACACAATAAGAGCACTATTAGATGAACTCTTTGTAATTGTAATATGAACGGTGTTGGGTCGCATTTCGGTTTTATGATGCACACTTTAATGCCTAAATTTAACGCATATAAATCTATCATTAGTTGATTTATTTACAAGCCGCTCAGAAGAATGAAGCTAAGGTATAAGATTAGTGTTATTTTTTCCAAGTTCATGAACGTAACAGCCGTCACCCACCGTAGATACCTCGGAAGCGAAATAATATTCGCCGAGTGTACAAGAATCGATCTCTGATACTATTATTGACTTGCCAACACCCCGCATATGTCTCTAATGCGGGTATGACTAAACTCATAGATAATATCCAAGTTCTGAATGTTCCATTTAGTGAAGAGGGCATCACGCCGTCATGTTCATATAGAAATACGTAAGCATATTTGGGCGTTTTAACAACTGTAATGGAAATGTACCTGGCTAGAGTATCGAAGGGTTGGACATTCGTTTTACCTAAGCAAATTCGAACCGGCGCAGCTAGTTGAACGCATAAGCTTCCTCTGGAATATGGCCCCCTTGTAGATCATATTTAAATTCGTTGCATGATAGTGTGCAGAGCGTGATTTAGAAAGAGCTTAATGTCGACTAGCTCACTGTCGCTATTAGGAGGGGTTCAAAAAGACGGGTTAGAATAAGTCGGCACAAGCTAGTTAGCGGTTTAGGCCCCGACAAAAAGTTATCACCGAAGCAAATGATTTCTGCACTGAGCAAGCGCGTCTGTTCGAGATGTCGTTGTCGATACTTACAAAAAGTTCCGTCCAAATGCCAATGTTAAGGCTTAGAGTGAACAACCGAGAGTCCTTGCTGTCCTGCATAGCATTCGTGTGACACAATCTTAGCGTATGCATGTGTAACGTTTGACGGCTAGCGTACTCTGATTTCAGAAGGAGGTGATCTATCGTCTCGATGGCCGTCGCGGTATAAACGCTCGCGGAGTATTCGCCTCACCACATCACGTTACCTCGCCGGCGTGGACAGGTCGAAGTTATTTCTCTTTGGCTCGCCAACCAGCGACACTCAAAATTGCCCGCCTTGAGCTCAGCGACTCGGACGAATATACCTGCGAAGTTCAACACGCTGATGGGACGACGCTCACTCATAGACTCGTGTTCACCGTTATTCGTACGTACAATGTACAATAGAACAAAACAGTACAATACGAAGGGAAGTGCCCAGGTTAGTTGGCTGATGCATAAATATGATGAATTATTGAAAAGGTTATGAAGGTGCTATCAAGTTCATAGCTGTGAACTTGCAGGCCATATTGTGGTCCTTGTGGAAGACCTGCATGCCAAACACAAGCTAGGGAGATTGGGTTAACTGTTCAAACTAGCGGATTATATAATGCAACATCTATGATAGAGAGAAAAAGACGAAGAAAATTAGAAGTTCTACTTTATATGAATATGAGAACATTTCGGTGGAGGAATATATGTAAAGTCATCATTAAGCATCGTAGACCGAGCCCCTAGATTACAAGGAAAGATGTTTAAATTATAATGACGACTTTTAAATAGCAATAGGCGTGCGAAAGGCATCGGATTTAAGAATCATTGTGATTTAACATCGTAACACTGACCGTAAGACAAGCTTTTACATTCAACTGATAATTGAATACTAATTCACCGTAATTTCTTTCCAAAAAACGATTCAATTAATTATCTGAAAAAAATAAACGTTTCCGAAAAATGAAATGTAGCCGACAAAAAATGGCTCCTTTTTTTTTTTAGAAAAACCCTTAGATACAGATACAGAATCTTTATGATCGGCTCTTCACAAAGTATTCGTATTCATGCTACACATTGAAAAAGGCTCCCCAAATAAAATTAAATATTTTTCTTTCAATCACAATAGAATGAAGGGTCTCACAGAAAAAATAAAAAAATGTATAATTAAATACCACTTTCTCACTATGTGGCGCCACATTCTTGATAAAAGTACCGTCGGGTAAGCCGGAGATCATCGATGCGGTATCTGGACAACCCATCGAAGACGATGAAGCAGGACCTCTTACCGTCAATGATATTGCTCGTCTGACATGTCGAGTGCGACAAGGCGTTCCATTACCAACCGTACGCTGGGATATCGGTTCAGACAATCGTGCCCACGAAATTCATGAACTAGCTACTCCTGATAGCTCAAATGCAGATCTGGCGAATCCCCAAGGGTGGGTAGCTAGCAGATTGACACTGAATAACCTTCACCGAAACGACTTGAATCGTAAGCTGAAATGCATTGTTCAGCAAGCTCCCGTGGAAGCTTTCACTACACGAATCGAAGTCGGGCTCGATATCAATCGTAAGTAGTGCTTCAGCTATGCACAACGTGCTTCGTCTGCTGTGTCCTATCAATAATGTCATTTTTGTTTAACAAGCTTCTTTAGCTCAGTGAAGGCAATTCCAATTAGTGGCACTTTGCTTGGAATAGACCATATTTAGATAAAAACTCTCCTAAAACAAATACAATTCCTCAATAATGTTAATTTCAACATGATCTTTCTGTAATAGATAGCTGTTGTATATTACTGTCGACATGGGCATCAAATACACATACGTAAAACGTACGTTTGCCAGTGGTAAGAAGCAGGTACTTACTGTTTTGTCTGCAGTACCTGCAGAATCTGTCGATGTTTGGTCCGTACCACGGAGCGCAGTTGGCATTTCAAGCGGAGCGACCGGCGAGTTTCACTGTAGGGCCATAGGCTCTTGACCCGCGGCCAATGTGTCCTGGGCTCTCGAAGCTGTTCGAGATGGAGAAGACAAGAATCAAATCGTCGAATGGCAAAGGCTAGAGGCCTTTTTCCAGGACGACTTTGACGGCAATATGACATTTAGCGTTCTCATGCTTAAAGCTCGTAGAGAATTTCACGGAAGAATTCTGCAATGCGTGGCAGCCCACCCTCGTCTGCCGTATCTCACTCGGACGGCGTCTATTAAACTCAACATATTTTGTAAGTAGTGCTGTTCCTATTCTCAGAAAGAATTCTGTTTCATGATGAATCGTAGCTAAACGCCACCTTGAAAAGGCAACCCCAAATGGAACTCTCAGAAAGTTCGGCGGCATGCTCCTGAGCCGCCGCTATTACTAGGAAAAATAATTACTGGCGCAGAACTAGGCTGAAGTTAGGTAAATGAAGACTTAGATCAAAGCACGGATTTTGTTAAAAACGTTGTTTCAAATGAATAGCAGAGAGTGTTTACAATAAGTAATTTGATTACTTACAACGTTTATGTTTTGATGTTAATGAAGTTTTCCACTCATGAACCTGATTGAATTAAGGGCTAGTTTCGGCATGTCGGCAACGAGATTTAGAGTCGTCTGTCATTTACGTTTGCACAGTGTGAAAAAAGCTCTCAAATTAGAGCCAACGAAATACAATCCAAATTAAACATTTGCCACCTTGACAAGTGAATGTACCGCATTGATTGTACAGGCTTAGTATACTTCAGCTGGCCTTACCGGATATCTAATATAATGACTACTCTTTAGAGAGAAAGTTAATAAATTTTATCTCGTTTGTTTAGTTCATCGTATCCTAACACTAGAAGCGTCCACACGTGAACAGGCCACGCTTTGCGTAAATGGCAGCTTAAACGATATTTTTCAATGTTACCCAAAGGTTATCCATAGTTGATACTGGTTCAAAAATTTCCAGGCATTAATTTGATTTGAGGTTATGTTAGTTTGTGTTTAGAGTAATACAATTACATTATAGCAACATATAAACTAAAAACTTATAGATTTCAAGGTATTTTTAGTTAAAGAGATAGCCCAACGCTCGTGTTGTTTCTTGAGGTATGTTACACCACATCAGATATACATAACTTCTGGCAAACAAAAACTCATCGTTTTACATGTAATGTAAAAAAGTCCCGCACAACAGAGCGTGTGACTATGTGTTTCAGGTTTTATTAGTCACAGCTGTCGTATTATATAACACAAGTCGGGATCGATGCTTGCCGTTTTTCCCTGTGACGCGCTGATGAGTTCCAGATAGGGGTAAATTCTCAACTGTTGGTGTGTCGCTTAGAAGGCGCATATACTTGCCCAACGATTAACGATGTAGGGCCAAGGCATGTTTTAAAAAATAAGGGTTTTACTCGATACGGTTTAACGAGCTTTGTCTGCAGGTATTCCATAGGAAACAATCGGGACCAGCTTTATCTGGAACAAAAGTAGCGCCATGCACAAAGAAAGGCTCAATGTTTCGACGCTGACAACCATAACTCGTCGCATTCTGTACGTGATGTGATTTTCATTTATTTTTCTTTCAGATTTGTTTTCAATTTTCCAGATACTCGAAGTTATTTACATGATAAAAGCATGTTGAAAGCAGTACACTGACCTCTATGGCGGAACTCCATAGCCTCTGTCTTGTCCATGTTGATCTACAGTCCAGTTTGATCCATGTAATACGACAGTTTAATGAGAGCTTGCTGGACATAAAATCGAATCTTTCCAAGGGCAACAAGATCGTCAGTATGCAATAACGTTTTTATCTGTCCTGCTGGATCTTGAACGTATTAAGCAGCAGAATGAACAGCGATAGGATCAGATTATCATCGTGTGTAACGGTAGTGTATCGGATGAACGATTTCAATTGGGCCGTTTTGTTATCTATGCTCACGGATTTTTCACTAATGTTGTCCTGAACGTTCCAGCGTGTCCTGTAAAACTTTGTCTCCGAGGGGCGATATCGAACGGTGATTTGAAATCCATGAATACAGCGAGAAGCGTTCGTTTTGTTCATTGTTAGACACTGTGTATCTCTTGAAGCAGAATGTCAGAAGCTGTGTGGGTAAAACGTCGTGTGCAAAGGCCATCATGCTCAGACGGAACACCTGAAAAATCTTCCAGCAATCTCGTTGGCTGGCATGTATATTAAGATGAGCCAGAAGCCTGTAACGGCAGGTTTCCTTCGCGATCGTTTTTCATCGACATGAGTCGAACAGGTTATTTTTTTCTATGGTATGACGCTTAGAAGAACATCCTTTTATACAAACGTGCCGTAAGCAAGCATTCAATATATTTGTCTAACAATCGAACACGTCAGACATTTTTTACAAATGCCTATTGCGAACCAGGTCCGGTTCAGCCATCTTGCTTGATTGGCACTGTTATTAGAAGAGCGGTACCTTGACATGGGAAACTCTCTTTCAAGTCCCTCGCGCATGATAAATGTGTGTTCATCCAGTGGATGAACCAGCATGCAAAGGCACGATTCATTACATGGTGTCCACCGGCGTATACGTACTTTTTAAAATACCCATTAGCTCTGTAGAGTTAACAAAAAGTGGCGCCGACGCTATTTGTCATAACCATTTGTGTCGTTCCCATCGTGCTTGTAATACAGGCCTCTGCTCCTACGGTGAGAGGTATTGCTGATGAGCAGATTCAAGTATTCGCCGATAGTAACTTTTTAAAAAATTACGGAACAGCCATAACCGGGTGACGTTTGAGCAGTTCCCGTTTTTGGTTAGTCTATAATTTGGCTAGCTTCAAGTGAGTTATGAATGATGTTAAGACTCTGGTTACGTTGTAGTATGGCATCGTGCGATGGCTAAAGAGTGGTTGTCAATTGGGGAACAGGGTTGGTCAAATCTAGAGTCTTAGGCAGCTTAGCATGCCTTCTTCGTTATAGGGGCAGCTCGACTTCAACAGGTGCATGCCATCTTGGAGCATTACTCTCCCTCACCGGATTGTTTCTTGCTATGTATCGAGCTCTTCCGGCACTCATATTAGATACGAATATGTCTATGATGTTTGCATCTGAGCTTTAAACGCTGACGATTGGTCCCGGGAAGTGGAAAGCACCCAAAGTCTCTAAACGGATCCAATACTGCCTGCGTCATTCAGTTTGTCAATGCTTGTACTCAGGATGCCAGCAAGTACAGAGAGGGGGGTAATCAGTGAAGGGTGTACGTGTATAGCACAGGCAGTCTTGTCGAGCATTGTAGTCGTGTCCTTTCGGTTCGTAGAATTACCGTAAGTTGCTACGATATACACTTACTTGCCTTCACTGCAGCATCTCCTGTAATTGTCGCGCTGATTTTTCTAAATGTTTTTGGACACATTGGAAATACTTGTTCACAAATTTATAAACATCCATTACATTGTAACTTCGCTGGTCAGTCATTCATTGCTTAAGATTATTTCACAACGACCGTTGCAGCAACGAGAACAGGGCCACTATATAAATAGCCCATAATCCTAACGCGTGCCAGATTATACACAAAATCTGAAACAAGAAGTACGTAACGACGCGAAGTACACTAGCATTGTCATTTTAGCCTGATACAGGACAATTTGCTAGTGACACATCGTCTTAAATACCCAATAATAGCTAATAATTTCTGATTTGTGATAATAGTAAATAATATAAATATAATAACAAGAAAAAATTGTTCTCTCTCTATCTACAATTCTATCAGCAAGCCTGATCGTACACAAAGTTTGACAACAGAGTAATTGCGCTAAACTTAGAAAAACTGTAATGGAACAGAAGCATGGAAATACGACAACGACAGATCGTATCCTGAAACAACGTGGACAAATATATCGGGTCTATAAATATGGGTCTATAAATAATAACGAAAATTGTACGATGCTCACAATAGACGAACCGTCGTTTATTCGAGCTTGCACAGTAAGTCTATATCTTGATTTGTATCTATCCTGAAGTATATATTTAGGTTTATCAAATCAATAAATTTTTGTGGGATCAGCGTATGGGAAGTGATCAATAGAACTCCGCTGACGTATATGTACAAATTACGCTGTCATATGTTATAATCTCGGTCAGAACCTATTACGGTTTTAGGCTAAGCACAGGCCGATAGAGTAGAGTATTGCATTTCTAGTTATCTAGATAACTAACGGTCTAGCGTATCGAAGAACTCGATTGTCGTTGATCGTTGACAAACACCATCGTGTCTTATAGCATTGATCTTGTTCTGCACGTTCTCGGCACCCTCATCGTATTGCAGCATTAATTGCAATGAGTTGAAACAAACGCCGTTGGTATACGATTTGATATTTTACTATGCGACGTTTCCAACATAAGCCTGACACTGTCATTCTTGTTAGGCCATTTATCGTCACCTATATGATCGCGCAGAAACTAAAAGATGGCTGATTAGACATTGAATCGAATGAGGAGACATGTGCATAAATTTATATAAAGCATAATGTAGACTTTTTTAATCTAACCTTGTGCTTCTTCTCTCCCAGATGCTCCAAAGGTCCAGGTTTCTATCCGAGGAGGCCACGACAGCTTGGCGGTTAACGAAGGCGACGATGTCTATCTAGAATGCACTTTCTCAGCAAATCCGGAACCTCATACCATCCTCTGGTCTGTGTTTATAATTCCGTGTGTAGCAATATGAACAATCTAAACATGTTCCTAGCGCATTGTGCGTATAGAGAAAAGTACCCTTAGTACAATAATAGATGTTGTGCTCGGCATGTCCGAATTTGATAATTAATTACCGCTGTCATCTGATCTTGCACCGAAACAGCTTCAGGTGCTAAAATTTGTCTGCTTTAATTGTGTAGTCATAATTTCTTGCTAAGTACTAACACCTTTGTAATATAATAATGTTAAACAAGACGTTAGGTTTACTGTAAATTTTACAAAAAACAAAAAATTGGAGTAGCTGGACATAATAAATTGTTTTTTCTCAAATTTATCTGTTCAAATTTGCTTTGGAAAAGATTAAATATTTTCTCCAGACAATTGATTGTTTTTTATAAAAGTTTTGGACGTTATAGTCCTTTAAATGCACAACGTGAGTTCGGAGAACGTTTTTTTCAGTAATAGGTAGGTGTTTATATTCACCCAAATAATGTTCATAATAGTAAAATGTCTAAGGACAATATATAATGACTTTTTTTTTCTTTTACGCATATCTGAATAACCCGTCCGACTGCCGTGGTGACGTCGTTATTTGAACGTGTTAAGTCGGACGACGAAAGGGGTCAGTATACGTGGTGACGTCGTTATTTGAACGTGTTAAGTCGGACGACGAAAGGGGTCAGCATACGTGGATAATGTGTGCGAGCATTCGATGACACAAAGCTATTAATGGTTGGTCTGAGAACAATTGTCCTTGCCGGACTGTTGCACACAAATGGCCCGAGTTGCGCAGAAATCACTGGTTTCAGTGGCACCAAATTCGAGGTACCCTGAGCGACTCATCTTGTCGACCATTTCCTGTGACGAGCTCGATGTGGTTAGAGGGCCGACAAAGCTATACAGCAACACCTAACGAGAAACTTCTCGTCCGTTAGCGCAATACGTAGACAGGTAGAACGTCTGGCTTCGACGTCTTCAGTCGTTCCGACAGATAAGGCTACGTCAGCATTTTCACCTATCCAGTGTTGTTACCGATATATGGACGACTTGCTTTTGCTTCGATTTTGTTCACCTCATTTTAACTTGACGTTGAGATTTTGCCTCTTAATTTTAGGTATCACGACAGCCGCTTACTGCCAGAATACCTTGTGCCCATAACAACAGGTCCCTACCTGATTCTGAAAGGCGCCAGACCCGAACACTCAGGAAATTATACTTGTTCTGTTGCTAATCTTCTGGGAAACGCTACGAGCGGTCCGGCAAACCTGCAGGTGAAATGTGAGTGACTCACTAAAGGACAGTACAATAAATAAGTGGAAGTCCAGTGGAAACAAGGTCCCCGTATAGCCGATTACATTTGCCCGTGCATCTAGCGCCATCTATTCTCAAATAGTTTCCCCTATCTGTATCATGCGATTTATAGAAGTAGCTTCTCGATTGACTACTGCATAGAGGTAACTGTCCCCGATCAAAAAGACAACATCAAGGGCTGTATGTATTCGTCTTTCCGGAAACAGAACAGTAAATCGCAGATTAAAGCTTTTAGATCGTCGCTCCAAATCAGAGGCAGATGTCAGAGATTGTTGATGAAGATATCTCCTTGGTCATTGTAGATCTGCGTACATGCGACGCCAGTGCGAGTAATGTTATTTCATTTTATTTGCATCTATCGAACAGCTATTTAACACTACCGCTTATTAATAATTGCTATAAACAGCCTTTGCTTCCCGCGTATCATCTCGTCATTATACAGATCGGCCACGTTGCGTTTCGTTATGGAGATCGCCCAGTGTCGCATCGTTACTGCCGATCTCGAAAGGCGTAGCAAACCCTTTACATGCACAGAAGTCCAGCATAGGCCAGGACATCGTTGACGAGATTCGTATTGGCTGTGAATTGGATTGCGATGATGGCGCGACGTGTGACTTCATCTGGGATGTATTTGATGAAGCCGGTGTACGAATGAACATTCAACCTCATTCAGAAGAACCAGTCAAAGCAACGACTCAGTCCAGATCTCGTCTAGCAGAATTTAGTATACCGAGGAGATACAGCCAGCAACCGTTACGAATAGAGTGTCGAGGAAAGAACCGCATTGGAGTTACCAAAATTCAACCATGTTCACTGGAAATTCCGTCAGTTGCTGGAGGAAACGAAAATCAGTGCGTTCTTTCATGGGGCGATACACGCCGTCTGCGCAAAGCCAGTGATCCGCTTCTTGTTAGATGCCCGCTAAAGGAAGGTCGTCCTCAACAATGGCGCCGTCCTGATCAGAGCAACGAGGTACAACTATCTGATTACGGCACGGGTCACACGTACGTCCTGGAGATTCTAAACGGTAAATTTGTTACCTGCCATATTCACGGACATAAGCATGTGAGCTACTTTATAACGTTTAAAGTAAATGCTGTTTTCCTTTCGTCAATAGTTAATTTGAACTAGTACTTCGGCAGTGTGCAAATAAAACAATTATTCCGATCGGAAATTTACGCTTCAACTAATAACAGGGGAATGAAAACAAAAGAAAACCAGGAAGCATGTTTTACCACCAGGTTTAACAGAACAAATATTCTCAACTTTGCTTGTTGGCTTGATTACAGAACATTATATTTTTTCCGTAGCGTTACGACGAAGGAGGGAAGAGTTAACTACGAAATCCATTGCTTCTTTAAACCTGCTTGTTTTTGTATACGAGCTGCATTTTTTCTATGGCTTTTCCATCGAGACACCGGCTTAGTAGATGATCCATTTTATTTACAAAAGACAGACGGACTGCTAAGTGTATCGTATTGCTAAAACAAACGCGTTGTGTGATCAATGGATTACTGTTGAACGACTATATTTCTCCGCAATGAAACGAATAGAACTAAATTTATGTTTGGTTCGAACGTATATGGTGTACTCAGATATGCGCGCCTATCAATAAGAATTATCTTGCTTATTTTTTATACTTTTTACTCTGCTATCGGTTGCTCTATTTCTCGGGCCTACCTATCATAAAGAACTCGGCCACGTAGTGGATCATCTGGTCTCGCCGGAGCCACGGTTCGCCCTTGAGGCAGGCAGCCGCTGGCGGGAAGGCAGCGGAGAAGTTCCTCAGATGGAAAAATTGCTTCTGCGAATTGTCATCCCCAGTTTGCAAACCACCAGAACCGTTGGCCTCCAGAGAAGTGTCGGCGGTAGCCATAGTAATAGGCCCGGCGTTAAGGCTAATGCGGAAAGCTCCATACCGTTTACATTGTGCTGTTCGGCCCGCGGAAAGGACCTTGCACAAATGCTTCTTAAGCCGCGGAGCGAGCCACTGGCTACGTCCAACGCCTTTACATATGGTATGTAAATTGTAACAACGTTCTCAGCAGTCGCGACAACAGACTTCAGCAATATTTCGTATTGGCAGTCGACGAGCTAATAATACTGATAATAGTACATGTACAGAACGTACATTGATAGACCTATATTCTTATTACTATCATTACTTATAGTGCATACGTACAAATAAAGGTTTAAGCCTGTCTTTTTGAAAGTGGCTGAAACAATTTAGAATTTGCTAATTCCCCGTCTACATGTGAATAGTCCACAGGATGACTTTACTTCCATTACATTTTACAGGATCAACAGGCTTTCCAGTAACGGATAGTGTTTTTTGTTTTGAATTATTCCTTCGAAGCAACAACCAAAAATTTCCTACAGATAATGTTGTTTTTGTATTATTATTAGTCTTGGAAGCACAACGTTCCGAGTGGTGGCGCTATCTACCTTGTTAATTCTTATGTACGTGCGAAAAGACATAGCGTCTCTTTCGGCAGAGGTAACGCTTTAGGTGTTACAAACTGTTTACCCTGCCTACCGTTAATATGTCCAGCAAACGCACGATTTATCTTTCCACCCCTATACTATACCAATAGCAGCAGCAGCAGCAGCGGCAGCAGCAGCAGCGGCAAAGGATAGCAGATGCTTCTCTACTAACGATCCGTTCGGCTATACCCCATAACGTTCTGGATTACAGCCCCGGCCTGACGTACACTTACGTGTCTGAGCTATCCCAGTTCTAATATGACGGACAACAACGAACGTCAGAGTTTTACATCAGGGACACGTTTCGCCCTCGTCCACTTTACCGGTTGACAAAACGAAATTATAGCAAATGCCAGAGGAAATTTTATGGAGGGGAAGAAATCAGAGCTGATTTTGTTGAGTTGAAGATGAATTTTCGTAGTTTGTCTACAACTGTTAATGGCTTCTTACGATGAAGACGGCTGTTTTAAACGATGTCATCACGAAAAAAAAACCATGTACGTTCGAAGAGCGTGTTGATACTTTCGTTGTTGTTTGTCACAATCAACATATACATTTACCGTAAAAGAGATCAGTATCAAATGTATATCTTATAGTCCGAAGAAGCAAAACAACATTTACTCTAAACACGACCTATTAAAGTCTGTTCATTATCTACAGTATATAGAAGTCTCCAAAAGTTCAAAGTACAAGCTAGAGTCAAGGCAATAGAGGTATGGTTAAAATATTTGCGGGCACTTTGTTTTGCAGTACCTTATTTGCTGTGTCTTCCTTATACAACTGATCTTATTTCCGTAAGAAGTCCGATGAGGCCTACTTACCGAAAGGAAAAGCGTAGCATAAAGATTAATCATTTACCTAAGAATCATACAATGGATTCCAGTTTATTCATCCCGGTTTGTTTTCGGGTGGCACACGACCAGTGTCACTGATGCAGTTATGACTCTCTTTAATATACCTCTAATTGAATGCTATATGCTATATCCAGAGCGACGATTGCGGTCTGCATATGTATCGCAATATATTGTGTTTTTTTTTTCCTTTTATAGTACCGTCCATTACAAATGGATCCAATAAAATATACTGTGGTACAGAAAAAGCTAACACAGAAGAATTGTTCGGAGCAACGGCTGGAAAAGAATATCTTTTCGAAGAAAAAAAAACTTTAATAAATGCCCGAATTCTGAAATAGGCGATGAAAACATTTTGGCAACATTTGTTGATCGTTACAGGGACGTGTTGTTTGTCTGTCGTCAGTTTTTGATAGTAGTGGCGATAACACATTTTAAAAGAAGGTCTGCAGCTAAGATAAATGTTTCTAGTTTGTGCGATGGTTTCCGAAGCTCTATGCGTTAGACCATCAGGCCAACACGTATGAGCAGCAGCAAAACGAATGACCAGTCAAGAAACAAACCAGTTAGCCGATTGAAATTTAACAGAACAAGAGATTGGGATCTATACTTACGAACTGGACCACTCACTGGACGTACTTAGTGCTATACACGTATCAAATACGCATCTTTCCTAACGTTTGTGTTTCGTCTCTTACTTCTGAATCAGGCGGCCTAAAAACAGCACAGCTGCACAAGCACGCAGTCATTCTTATGGCGACATGCACCGTCGCCATAGTATCCCTTATAAGTCGATAACACAAATCATGGGCGAGATCGGAGCGTAGACACCAGAAGAGCAGACAAAGACAGGAAAATCACGATAGCATCTATAGAAAGCAACGCATCGACAGCATGGTTTGTCTAGATATAAGGGAAACATTCGGCGATAGAACAGGCGGGATCGTAGAATCTCTAAATGCCACTTATGATTCCATTGAAGCTGTCGGAGTTACCAGCTCGTTCGAGGTCGCCGAGGCGGTGTGAGCATTCCATTCGCGGGATTCCTCAATCAGAATCGAGCCAATAACAACAGAGAGTTGAACGAAGAGCCATGTAAAAGTAGATTGCCTGGTTCATCTGTGCGCGATATAAGGATGGTGATCATACGTGGCGTGGCAGCCGTGTGACTGAGCTCGCGCCTAATCGCTTTATGTTTATCTGTAAATGTGCGGGTGCGTGATCAGGAGCTATTACGATGATCGTGACGAGTTTTTTTTACTTTGAAGCTTTCGAGTGTGGTGTATGTTGAGCAAAATGTGAAGAAGCCAGAGTGCAGACGACAATGTGCCGACAAATCACAGTCTGATTCGGATTTGTCACTCGCGTTCAGAGCAGAACATCGTCCATGCGTAAACGGCTATCGAAGCCTACAAGTCCATAAAGTAAATAGGGGACTCTCAAATTTTAAGCGACATAAACGAAATAGGTTTCGCATTAACGATATACATGTCGACGTGTAAATAACGCATATCTATATACAAATAAGTAATTGCCCAGGGAAGTAAATGAATGCGAACTTTAGTAAGGTAGAGGTAAGAGAGAGAGAGAGAGAGAGAGAGAGAGAGAGAGAATATGTAAAAATGATAGTGGTGTAATATCGATGGGACGTTGAGAAGGCAGCGGAAGGCACCCTGCCATCTCGAACGTGAATTCTGTGTTTAGCGCACCGATCCACCCCATTCATCGTGTTCAGAACAAACTTGTATGTCGTAAATTAAAAGAGTAAAAGACGAATCAGCTAGAACAAAAGTCACACAAAGAAAAAAAATTATGTTCCGTAATATATACACACAAACCAAAAGCAACAAAAATGTAATTAATAATAAATGTATTTTTGACGATTTGAACTAGCGTCTTGTTTTATATGTGTGCGCATGGGCTCTACGAAGTGCGATACAACATCTGTTCAAAGAAGTAGGAAAGGGATAGATGCTTCCCGTTTACAAGCCAAATACCACATGATGAAATCTTCTTTGAATTCAGATTGTTTAGCTAAAAAAAAAAAAAAAAATTACAACTCCAGTAAGTAGAACGTGATAAAACTTAACAGCCGTGATGAATTTGAAAGTAAGCGCGTCACGGGCGGTCGGAATTTCTAAGTTGTAAGCGATTTGCAGAGGGTATTTTCATGCGTGTAACAACACCTCGCCATCTCATGTCAGCGTAGAAAAACAGCCTGATAAACTCTATCTTCCTTAGAATATATTTGGATTACAGCGTCAATTTCTACCTAGCACAACAATAGGATAAATAAATTGTGCGCTAATAGTGGAAGATAAAAAAATAACGATATCGAAAACGACGTTTTCGGTCGCTGCCTTAGCATAGTAACATTGTTATCGTTCTACAAGTGACCTATCTATCTAACGAGAATCCGCTCCATCCCGTTTAAGGCTTATCGATTGCCCTTTCGCGGTCAGTATAATCAGTAAACGTAACTAATATATCGTAGTCGAGACCCGACGAAACAACTCATCGCAACAGTTACTTACAGTCATACTGCCAAACAATAGTTCTATTAAGTCATAGTTGTAACTTGCGTAGCGGTTCTTTAACAGTAAACCCGGTTTCAGCCAGCCTGTAGTAGTCATGCTTATAGAACACGCTGAATGGGTATTAGGAAAGAGCTATTTATGAGGCTTATTATTATTATCGTTATTCAATTTTCAGCCTGACCAGATCTTGATGAAGGCAGAACTGCCTCGCCGTATATAAAGTTGACCGGTTTTTTTTTTACACTATTGGCATCGATCTTTATGAAAACTTCTGGGCTCTTATCTAAACTATGGGCTTTTTCTCGAGCGACGCTGTTATCCTCCTCATATTATTTGATATCTCCTTAGATGGCGTCGTAACGCGTTAACTGTTTAATCAAACAGATAATCTCACAGCCCGTCAACTTTATTAGAGTCTAAACTAGTCCGTTTCCTTCAGAATCTTTAATAATAAGTGTCGCGTCAGGACCATATACTCGCTACCGACCTAGGATATTCCTTACCAAATCGAAACACTCTAACAGAGTGCTGATTTTTTTTATTTGTCGTTTCTGACCACAGCTTCAAAGTGATCACTTTACTTTTTCGTTTAACAATATTTCTTTACAAAATAGTACTACCCCCTTCGTGCCCAACCCGCTTTACGGTAACTCATCATAACGGTGTGTGCATTGTTACATCGGTATACGACATCTAAATTCATATGGCATTGAACAGTGGGCGCCGACCGCTGTTTTGTAGACTGTTTCCAAGAGTTACTGCGGGCGTCGGTGTGTTTGTTTCGTTTTCATATTGCAAGATGCTAGCTAGTGAACCAATATCTATATCGTAAGCAGCTTTTTTTATGGATCGAAAAAACCTGTTCCCCGTCGCGTTGCGCCCGTCAAGAATAGTACCTCACCTGGATTTGCTCAACAATTTCCCACTAGAACTTCTACTACCAGTTAATTCGTCTTCAATGATCGCAACCCGGCCTGCCGATACAAAACGTGTCGGAATCGTGTCGGGAATCCGTTTTTTGACAGAACCTTCGTTCAGCGTCTACTTCTCCGGTAGAAGACTAGCGTACGCAGATCGAGTGACATCATCGATAAGCTACAGCAGATTATAATAGCTGTTTTCCGCTTGTGAACTGTTACAAAAGTTAATAAAACATAAATAGTTAATAAATAAACGTTAATAAACTGGAAAAAATAATCTAGTTACCAAAAATATTATACACTTTTTTATTTATCATTACATTTTCGTCTTATCTTCGAGAGGTATGGCAAGAAACGGCTATTCGAAATTCGTCTCCGTTACCGTTTGAATGATATCTTATGTTTTGGGTTAAAATGGGTTCAACGCATATTATCACAGCCAACATCTTATAATTCATCGATCCCGTAATTAAAATAGTTGTTTCCACTCCTCTATATCAGTAGATATCATTTCGGAAACATACAACACCATGCTGTAAAAGTCCTTGGCTAAAAAGGACCGAACAAACATCAAGCGCACTTTTTACCCAGAAAAAAACATCTCTCTCTATGAGTCTGAATTTCGTTCGACGACCTTAACCCGTTGTCAGATTTGTGTGTTCTCCTACGAATTGGGAAAGTCAAACCTATTCAACCTATGTGACGTGACCAACGACTATGGTCTGCGATGATCGATCGTCTCTCTATGTATACTGTAAACAGAATTGTCGGCTCAAACAGGATCGGCGTTCTACCGAATTGTTGCTATCGCTATAAACATGAAGTTTTAAGTGTCCATAGAATCACTTCTTATACATAAGTATATGAAACGATGACTACGAATTACTCTGAAGACGTTTAGATGTTCAAGGTGAAGCAATTTTTTGTTCTACGATCTTTAAAGGCCTGCACATCGTGCACTTGCAGTCAATGAGGCACATCCCCTCAGCAGTTTGATGCTTACCCTATGAAGGCCAACTACCCGCCTTTCTTCCCCATTTGTCATACTCTCCACCATTGTGTCATACACATCGTCCTTCACTCGTACGTAATGCAGTAATCGCACTTTGCAATACGATAAATCCAACTTCATTCATATGGAAACACCTTTTGTATTCAGGCCTAAATGAGCCGGTCCAATCAGCGAGCGATTATAACCGATTATATTACAGTTTTTACCATTCTTCTTCTAGCGAAGGTACTACTTTTCAGTATCGAGTCCTTTCCATAGTGATTTGCCATAGCTACGATCTTATAGCGCGAGTTATATTACGCACTTTTTTCACCAGCCACAACTAAACACCGAGAGAGTGGCCCACACATTTGCCCTCCCGAGAACTGTTATAGACGTTAGTACTCCTTGCCGTCAATCATTCGATCACCATCATCATCCAATTAGTGAATTATAAGTTTGCATCTGCATGAGCTTGGATATATTACAGTAATTTTTTTAGAGATAGAAAGGTTTTTGAATTCTCGACTTTTCAAACCCAAAGTTAGTATCTTATCTTAAATAGGCGCATGTATATGCTTAACGTAATCTCATAGCTAAATTGTACTTGTCGATTTTTACTACCCATAGATATGTTAGTACTCTATGTATGTATATATATAATATAACATACATTATTACGGTTTCAACAACAGAGTTCAACTTTTTGTATAGTTTTGCCTGTCTATATTTCGTTGCTTGTGTTCGATCATATTAAGCTGTCGCTCTGCACGAGCGCTTGGTTAAGAGTAAAAAAGCTATCAGAACTTCCAGTGATGGTTCTCCGTGTCAACTGGCCGATAATATGCCTTAAGGTATCTGCAATTGCCGGCCTCATCTAACATTGATCTTCTCTCTTCATGACTTGTCCACAAAATGTATCTTGTAGCTTTTACCAAGCTATTTTATAAACCAGGTCATACGGGCCTCCGTATGTAGAGATCTAACCGTATGGTGACCACTAAATCAGCAGTTTTGGTATTTGTCAAAGCGACACAAATTTTGACGGTGATCTACGTACGTATTACAAGCTATACGAGTGAAATGATGTCATGGGTCGCAACAGATGCCGTTGTAAGCAAACCGTGTAGATTCGAAATGGTTCCTTGATTGAACTCGGTCGTCATACATTTAGTTTATTAAAAAATGGCTCAATTTTATTTTATTCCCTGTATCATAATTATTATCGTGTTTACGTGATCCAAACCAAATAACTTCTATGGAGTAGTCGTCATTTTCTGTATGTATTTTAAATTTTGTAATTTTGAGACTCCGCGGCTCGCCGAATTTTATTTACCGCCAATAATTTAGCCAATAATTTAAAAAGTGAGCGCCAAGGTTTGCCAAAATGTCGTGGTAAGCCCCCTAACTAATGTATAATTACTGTTTGGTAGTAACAGTAAGGACTACTTTACGGACTGCCTAACTCCTGCTATTGGTAGATATATACCTTTTGCGTTTTTGCCTCAAAATGTTTCGATCGCAGCTGCGTGACGAGATACGATTGTAAAAACCAGCTGTTTTATAAAGCAAACTCTTAGGATTCTTAACGCTTAAAGATCAATAAGGTAGACAATTTCCCTAGTAACTCGACGGTGCAAAGTAACCTGTGCCAGTCGACGGTGGATAGACGGAAAACCGCTAGGTGCTTGTACAGATCTAAATGGGAGGGTAATCACCAATCGTGTTTCAAACACTAGGAAAAAGTTTAGCTCAGAATAGACTCAACTAATTCAACAGAACACATGTCTTACGAGCGTGAATACTAAAAAATAAAAGCAAGGTCAGTTTTTTAGTTAAGTAATATACGCAAGTCGAAGCCAGATGTGATTATTTCGGGTTGGTCCTAGCCCATCTCACTCTCTTTTTTGCATCTTCTGTTAGCCACTTTGAGTACAAACGACACGGTAATTTGTACTCATATACATATACGAATACCTAGGATATTCTATAAAATTTCTAAAAAAGACTACCACAGGTAGGCGTGCCTCGTCATTAGAATGTTAACCATAGCGGCGTATAAATCATGTCGACTTTTGGGCTCCACTGCTGGGATTTGCGTTGTTCTAACTGTACTTTGCCAAACAAGACCCCTATAGATACACTGTTCCTGCGAAGAACTTCGTCTTGCTCTGTTCTCTTGGCCATCGTTTCTAGCAGAAACCTTCTTCTCATCTGGGGTCCCGTAAGTCCCTCTCTTAGCATTAGGAACTTTCTGGGTGAATTTTTAGCTTCATGTAAGCTTGTTGAGACTGTCACGCGGGTTGTCACTGTCATCCTAATCTCGGGTAAATTAGAAACAACTCGAATTAAAATCGTGAACGTCCTCTGGTCTCTCTGAAAGAATCATCCCGTTCGCTTTTGCCCAGGACGGCAGTACAGCTTTTGAAAAATGTATTAAAGATGCGTAAGCGTACATGAGGTATGAATAAATAAGGATAAGACTGAGCCACAATTTAATTTTGGTTTAAATCGACGTGTAAAGTAGGTAGGCGAATCAAAATTTCATATACCACTATGAGTATCTTATTAATGGGTTAATTTTCATATTTTTCCTTGCACATTTAGCCCAGATATCGCTAGTAGCATATTTAAACGTAAAAGTACAATTTAATATTTCGCCGTTCACTTCGTTACAAGACTTTATCGTGGCTACATTGGCTTTGTAACAACTACATCTTGGCCTACTGACAAATTATAATAGCGTATTAACGTTTGTTAACTAGGAAATTTATGGAAATCCAACATTATATAAGATCTGACTCTATTCCTTGGATATCCTTAAGGGATAAATTAATTAATTTCAGTGTATTTTTATGTATATCTTTATGTCAGTATATACATTTTGCTCGTCGGATTATATTTGTTGAATTTAAAAACTTTACCATCTTATCGGCCTTGTACCAAGGCCCCAAGAATGCCTGAAGACATTTCCCTATTGATATTTGCGCCAATGATCTATACATTGACAGCAATGCTTGTGGGCATGTCATGCGAACTACTGGAAAATAGGTAGCGATAGGATCGATGGAGATAGATCTGCCTCTGTTCTTGCCCAATTCACGTTTCAAACGAGCGCTTAATTGTCTTCGAATATTATTACGTGGGATTGGCCCCTCTGTACACTGAACTTCCTCATGGACTGGTGGGAATAGAAGAGAGGTAACAGGACGTGTGAGTCTAGGTAGGATCATGAAATTATTTTTCTCCAAATCCAGTCAACCCAACCGTTGGAAGCAAAAAGCTGACTTAATTACCTTTTTGGGCGTACCCGAAGAAATGAAATCCACGTTACGGATTACACGTGTTCGCTCGTAAATTGAACTAAATTACACTATATTTATCTAGCCAACTTTAATTCTAGAGGATTCACACTCTAGTAGGCTCCGTTTGTACCCGCCATGTCCATTGAAAATGAAACACTCTGAAGTTTATAGAAAATATTCCTATGGTCATTTAATTATGACAGAGAAATCGTGCCGGCGAAGGGTCAAGGCTAACTGAAAGTAATGTCAAACGTAGAGGCAAATGGGTCAATGTCGACGCCCTCCAGGCTTGCAGTCTACGTATGGATGTTCCGAGTGATAAAAGTTGAACGGCATTTAGTGAGTATGATGTGGTACTTTTATTTACTTTGCCTGAAGAGATCGCCTTTACGGATGACGACTTCGCCGGTAACTTTTCCTGTAGTTCCGGTGGTGCTATCTGTTCAATCGGTCCACCCATTTAGTTATCAAACCTTTAGAACTATCCTATATATAGCCCGGTCGCGCCTTTTTCCTAGTTATCTTTACTGTTTTAATATGTATTTCCGCTGGTTACATCGACGAGATAGTATTGAAATAATAATGGAGATGAAAGCCATCCCCTCTTACGATCGTAAGGGATCGGTGTTGATGTATACTTGCATTTTTTCTAATAGAACGATTCGTTTCATTGGCATGTAGAAACAAAGCAATGGGCCGTCAAAATCACTGTTGGCTTAATAATTATTGCTTTTCACAATGAAATCAGGGCCACACTGCCAGCGTTGAAGGGCCTGACGCTGTTGCTTGATCTGTTTTGGTCGTCATTTTCAGCTGCTGCGGCAGCTAGTCTGAGATGAATGCATATGTGTGCATGCTGTACACAAAGCTTTCCTCTAAACTCCAGTAGCAATCAATTCATCATCAGTAGCAATCATTGTTAAGGAAGAGTAGTGCGGCTGTGAACGATACGAGCATTGCGATGCGATAAGTGAGCGGTCGTACGCGACCGTGAATCGTTTCTAGGGCCGACATGACAACAATCATTCATATCTAATAGGGACATTTCTCTATCTATATATATATATATATAGCAAAACTTTGTTGCAGTGGCATTTGCATGCATGCATGCATACAAACGATGAACTAAACAACGGTACGTACAATTACAAAGTAGACGACTTCACTCGATGGCGCATGCCCCCTCAAAGATATCAGCTGGTCTAAAATATACGGATGACCGATCGACTTGGGACACTTCGTATGTACGCGTATGGCGACTAACTGAAACGGTGTCGTTAAAAGATTGCAATGAATGAAATCATTACGTTAGATGACCAATTGAGTAATAGAACAAACGGGATTTCTATTTGATAAACTCCTGTTAGTTTTATTTCAAAGTAGAGAGAGATTAAGCAATGCATGATTTTCGAATAGCAACGGCTGCATGCGAAGATGCCCTATACATCCCGCTTCGTTCCGTTATTGGGCCTACGTTAGATAATGACTGTCGAATCAGTATTTAATTATGTCCGTCGAAAGAAGACAAATTGTTTTTGGCGAAGTAAATTGCTGGGGGTTATCAGTCCTATCTGAATAAGCCGTTACGGTTCGAATGCTTTACTTGATGATTAATTACAATTTAAGGCATACGTAACATTTACTCCTGTTGACCTGAAACCCAGCAAAGGGAAGAGTGGCTCGTGCAGCGTCTTTAGCTGTATTTTTTTGTTTGTTGGTAAAACATTCACCTTGGATTGAGTATTGTTATCAGCGTTGTAAAATAATCTTAGAATCACAGTAGTGGCCTACCTTTACGTCGTTAAACGTGGCTCTATCCAAGAAATTAAGAAACTTCACGACGTGTAGTTTTCCCGTTGTCGTTTGTCACATTGGAACCTGTAAAAGGCTCAGTTTCTAGCACTTATTACGCCAACTAGACCTTCCTTGTTTTTTTTTTATGTCAGAACTGTATACTGGCTCCGTATGTGTCGTGCAGTTTTACTACAGATATCTACTACCCAAACATTGCCACTGCTCCGTATCTCTGACAAAAAAAATGCGTGAGATTTTACCGGCACGCCGACGAGCTCGAACTGTTACATCGTTTCGAGTTGTTTTTATGTATGTGAGTGTACCGAAGTCTCTTATGGCTTTTTTAGCATTAATACTTACCCCTTTCTTACAGAATACTTTTGGCATACTTTACCGTGTTAGAAGTACAACACGGCGCAGTTCCCTTTCCCTCTATTTCTTCCCCTAATATATATATATATATATATATATATATATATATATATATATATATACATATGAATGCACAGTTCTATAGCACAAAAAGCCGTTGATCCAAACTACTTCACGCTGATCTCTTTTTTCAAGCTAGCACCGAGTAACTAGCCATTTCAAATATCTTAATTATCTGTAGCATGTTTAAATCAACAACGCAGTCGGTCTTGCGTTTCCCTGTTGGGGGACGTATTCCTATATATTTACATATTTATCCATGCATATATTCATACATCTTCTTCTCTATAATGATCCAAAGTAGAGAGCAATTTCGATTTCCACAATTCCATCAAGATACATTACCTAGGTCCTAGTGTGCGCAAGCTGGCGAATTGATTTTATGTGCTAGTTTCAGAAGGTAACCGAGGTAGTCGTCTTCGAAATGTTCAGATTAGCCCTAATTCCAATTCAAAGCACAGAAACGAAAAAGCAGACACACCTCTTTGCGCCACAGTAATGCCGGTTGAGCCGATGACCGTCTACATGGTCAAGTTTAACCCAATCCTTCAGTCTACAGTTAAACGATGGCGCCATTCTTCAATGATTTTCTACAGTATCTGTTCACGTTACCAACCATTAATTGACCGACTATGGGTAAAACACAAGCGAACGTAATAGTTACTCGTCTAGAAAGGCAAATTACGTAGCGCGACTGGCTTAGTGTAATCCCCTTAATCGGTCTTGCCCGTTGATTTCTTGTTTTCATTGCCTCGAGAAATTCGTTATCTTACAGTTGAAAGTAAACAAACGCGTTAGTCCGCAATGGGAATTGGTAAAGGCATATATAAAGGTATACTGAAATGGCAATTTTGTCACGGAGGTCTTCACGTCACAGCCGACGAAAGCAATAGGAATCCCGACGTTAACGTGCGACGTCATAACAAGAAAGTTTCACGCTTTCAATTTCTAACAAACGTCCCTGCCAAATCATTATTACCCAGCAGCGGAACTCCTCAGCCGATCCTTCGAGGTGATAAGTCATTTATCCACTATTACAAGACAACTTCAGCCAACAAGCGCGAGTAAATATTTTAAGCTCGACGGATTAGGACAGTCACTACTCCTACCTAGGCTCTGGCAGAGCAACTTTCACAACCTTTTCCACGTACGGGCTAACATTGTCGTGAATAAGGATTACTTCGTTTCGTCTATCGAATTGTTAGATAGCTCCGTTCGCTCGAAGCGATTGGAATATGTACGGATCCTTACCAGCCAGTTTGATGTTATCAAACACTTCTCACTGTATTATAACACTCTTTCAATAATACCAAGCGCAAATCTTTATTTAGCTATCATACAGATCCAACTTAACTCTAGGCTTAAGCATATCTCCCGAAGTTACTTATTTCTTTTTTTGCTTTATGTTGACGTTGGGATATCACTTGTAGGCAGTGACAGTTGTATATAGAAACCTGTTATTGAATCTGCGTGTTGGCCAACGTTTGACGAAAGGTTAGGGGCCAATAAAAAGCATTATCTGTGCGTTTTACGCAGTCTGGGTAATTGTCAACATTTTAAATCCAGGCAGCGACCGAACGAGAACGCCCATCAATAGCCGCCATCACCTCGAAGCGCGTCAGAAAAAATCAAAGTTAAGAGTGCAGAAAGATAAAACGGGCATAATACGAAGTCTGCCGCTCAAATTTATCGCTTAGTATCATGAGCACCGTAGGAGCTCTCCTCATGCATATAAAATCTATACATGAGATCTTTAATGAAGTTTCGCTGATGAGAAAGTCAAACATAGCGAGTCAACGCACGACGAAGTACCTACGTAATTCCACAGGGTGACGAATCGAATTAGATATGCGTCTACAGACTAACAAGTTCATCGTGGTCTCCCGGCACTGACACCTCGACATTGCGCGACCCAGACAACAATCTGGAGTGAAACTGTTTGTTAGGTACCACGGGTCATGAGGGATGATAACCGTAAAAATCTCCTTTAAAAAAGTTATCGAACTTTCCTTTTTAAGCATGATATTCGCCTTCACTATAAAAAGGCCTTAAATGTGGTTGTAGAATTACGGAACTTGATTAATAAGTCATATTTAGCTAATTAAGGAACCTTTACTAAAAAAAAAAACTGAAATCTTCGATCACATCGTAACAGACAGAGGGTTAACTATCCGTTGTGTTGTTTGAATAGAAGTTGAGTCTGTAATAATCGATCATGGAATCGTTAATACCGAATCATGAAAAATTTCAATGAAATGAATGAAAATTTCCTTAAAAGACAAAGGGCAGCTTAGTGTTTACCTGGTAATCATGAATCACAGAAAATATTGGCATCATTGGAAGACGACACATCTCGCATTGAAAACGAGATAATCCGGCAATAAAAAAAATAATTAACCATATGGATAATAGTCACATGGGGTAACTAAATTAAAAGAGATCCTCCACTAATACAATTGTGTGTAGATTGCACAAATCGTTGCAACAAAAATTTGAAGTTTTTTTTTTTAAACTGCGTGTTAAAAATTATTTTAACGTTTAATTTTTAAACGTTTAATTTCTGGTATTTCATAAGCAAGAATGGGTTTTTGTGCTAAGAATTGTCTGACAATATCTCGCCAGCTATCATAGTTCGTCTGAACAATTTATACCCTTAAAGTCTATCTGACGCATGATTTGCAAAATAGACTTTTAATCCATTACGATCTAGTGATCAAGCAAAATACCACCGGATAAGGGAAAAGGTACGGACCGTTATCGGTAGCATTTATTGCTTTTTCGGGTTCTCCCACAGGAGTTTTTGGAATCAGCTTTTCTTTCGGCTTACTTGGACAGATTATCAATCATGGAGTTATATCTAAATACCAAAAATATTGCTTGTCATATACGCAGATACTCGATTGAAAACTGCTTTAAACTGAATCTTCTCTACTTCAGCTCAAATGAAGGTTTTCAGTGGAATTGATTAGAAGTTCTAGTTTAAGTTTGCAACCTACTCTTATGAAAACAGGCCTGAAACCTGAGTGACCTATTTTGATGGCGCTTAACCAGCCCTCTTGAGAAGCGTAGGAGGTTTGTTTGTGCTAAAAATGGCAAATACGTATCGATGCATCCACAAGCCATCTATTTCCAATACAGCGAAACTGTTTCTAAATCAAGTTACTTTTAAGTACGTATCTAGGAATTGGCAAAGGAATGAATATTAAAATGGAAAATCGACCTTCGTTCAAAGACTATGCATGTATAATAGTATAACGTGCAACGGATGTCTTAAATAGCTTTGATATATTTCTAACACGAGGAGACGTCATTGTTATGCATCTCCATCTACTTTGCTGTTCTAAATGTCTTCTCTAAATCCAAAGTGATCTGACAACAGCAAAAGAAGAAAGCTAGCGATATCTCAACGTAGCAATATCGAAACATATCAGCGTAAAACGCTCCCCGTGTCTCATATCTACGCCAGTAGGATAGATAAAACTGCAAACTTATTTGTAACAAAATGCAAATAAGTGGCGATAAAATTAATGACTTCGTTGTTTGTAGAAACGCATCAAACAGCCAAACTGATAGAGCAGCTCTCCTTTACAACGAGAAATCGCTAGTTTGTGAACTCAGAGATTTAAGGGCACGAAGAGCTGGTATTCTTCAGTGTAGCAAGTCCCCTTGTTTGAGAAGGTGACAGTTTGTGTCCTTGTACCGAGGCCACAAAGAAAGATGCTTTCTTTGGGTTTCTTGCGGCTGTTGCGTAGCAGCAGCAGCAGCAGCAGTCAAGCACCCTATAGGTTTAAAGAAGCACCACTTACTACACTGTAGCAGAAGAATGAACTGTCGATAAATTACCCTAATGACCATGCAGGTTAGGACCACGTTTTTCTCGTATAGAACGGGTGTATGCTAGTAGGAAGATGTCACCAGGCGCCATGAAATCAAAAGAAGGAAAGAGAAGCTTGTCGAATCGACGGATACGATGACAGTTACACCATGGACTTGGTCCCTGACCGAATTTTTCTAAACAAATCCCAGCGGTCCCAAAGGTTTGTAAGTTGTAAATGAACATGTCAAGTTAGTTGCATTAAAAAATACATCCCACAGAGACTGGATTTTCTACTTATGTGTGTACGTATTAGTACAGTAGAGATGGAGCTTTGGTTCATCGGGCAAAGACTATGGGCTAAGTTGTAAATGTATAGATTTGTACAAACGTAGAGAGAATATTCGCCAATTACTAATACTGCAGCATTATGAGAATTTTCAGTAAATGAAACAATTGTACGCGCGACTGCATAATATAATAATTGTCATAGATGTGTTTCCAAAACCTTTGTTTGCGTACATCTATATGCAAAGAATATTTGATGCATCTTGAAGAGTAGATACAAAAGGTATGCATGTGAGCGTAATAACAATAAACTGTTTTTTTCACTTAAGTGACGGCTTTTAGAGCCAGGGTCTACATTGCCTGAATAGGGGCCGATAGGACTTCGCAAAACATCTCGAAATACCGTTCAGGTCATGTTCTAGGAAACATTCCTGTAACAAGCTTGACTTCAGTTGAAGTAACAGAACCATGACTGAGCGCGACTATGCCCTTTCTCCTTCTGCAAGTCAATAGTCCACCAATCTAAATTTCTTTCTGTGCTTTATCTCGCCTGTTTTCAGGACAAAGGTAAGGCATTTAGCAGCTTTAATGAATTTCTTCCTCTGGTTTTGTTTCTTGCGTGGAAGATGTTGTAGAACTATGTATAGCTATCCTAAGCTCTATTATTTTGGCAGTAACTGCACGCCTGGGGCAAAAAAGAAGGTCGTCTGCGACGTAAGTTGAAAGGGCCGTATCCTTTAGCTAGAATCTGCCTTCATCCATTTCCTATTCTATATACGTAATGCTTACGTAGTTGCCCCACAGAGAGTACACCGCATTCTTGGAGGTGGGATTGGATTCCAAATGCTTAGGAGTTAGTTTCGTGTCCTTGGTAATTGCGGTTGGCTATCCCACATATTCTGTGCAGTTGATTTGAGTAGCGTCATCTCTAATTCGCATAGTTACCCCCCAAGTTCGACGCAAAACGATAACTGAAGTTCAGAACCCACCGGCTCTAACATAATAATATGATTCAGCTAATAATAATAACATCAGCTACTCTATTTGGTAACTGCGTACTTCATTTGCTGGCTACCTGTTTACAATGACCTCGTCTGGAATTTACCGCACACACGTTTCAGTGTCGCCCATGCACACATTGTACATACAATAGTAGTCTTCTCGAGAATGGAAACGGGTCAAAAAAGTAGTACGACTTGTTTTGTTTACAAAGTTCTTTACGGTAAATTATCATACTTATATGCAAACGGTTCAAGATACAGTGGGGCTGCATGGGGCATTGAATTTCGAGCCCATAAGAAACCGGATAACCGGATACAGACAATGCTCATTTTACAAAAGAAACCCAAAAAATTAAGTGGCCATAGAGTACAACTCAACTTAGTACAAATGCTTGTGTATATATGGCAATTTACAATAAGGCATCGTATCTGTGTTCCTCAAATTCTTCTCTTCTTGTGGTCAACATCGTTTTGTATGCGGTGGCTTTCAAATTAAGCTTTGGCGAACTAAGTCATCCGGACCAAATAATAGTATCGATATACGTAACATGTTGCGGGTAGTTACGACCATGGATCAGAATTTACCATAAGCAATTATTTAACTCTCTCCTTATTTTTCACTTAACTACCTCCTCAGCCTTGTTGAATGACGGGCAGTTTTGAACGAAACTATTAATGGCCCATATAGCCTGACTTTGGCTCCTACAGCCCAACCATATAGGGCAGTGTAGGCCCACGACATTTTAAATTAATTGTAATGAACCCGTTTCGGCTTCATATTTGAATAGTCTTCGATGGATACGCTGATCTTTTTCCCACGGCACCAATAACTTTCAATGATATATATATATAAGCTCATGAATGTAAATAGCAATGCTGCTAGTTCAGTCGTGGTTAAGTAAAAAAGCCCAGTTATAGGTATTATATTGTAAGTCTAGACCCAACAGCCTAATTATTCACAAGTTGGCGTGAGCCACAATGTCCTGGAAGCCACAAAATCCTGGAAGAGACCGAATCAAGAAATTCCGAGATGAACTAGCTACACGACCACTAAATTGGAAACGCGGAAGCTACCAGATAAG